ACAAAGACGCAGGCAGTGGATGTGCCCGAGAGGTAGGCAGAAGAATCTTGTGGTGGCAGAGAACATTCTCCAGATCAACTGCTTCTCGGCTAATATGCTGAGTCACGTCATCAGACTCAGCCTTCTCCTCTCGGACCTCTCGAATAGTGATGTGCGGGCCCAGCTTGGGCTCAAAGCCCGGGCTTGGGCTTGTGGTGACGTCGAGCCGAGCTCTGAGCCCGAGCCGAGCCTGAGCCCGGCCCAAGCCTTGGGCTTAAGCCCGGGCTTGCTCACAATACAACGAGTGTTCCGGTGCTATCAAAGGGAATGTATTTGGGTGTAGTAGATTAATACTGCATGTACTCACTAAATTATAATCTCCAGAAGATCTACACCTGCGGAACAAGTCAAGTCGCAGCAAAGTCCACGAGCGTGCGCTTACAGCAGGCACCAGATGGTGACGCACAATCGTGCTTGGCGAGAGCCGTTACGTCTAGAATATCTACATTTTGTCTTCTATGTACATATTAGGTCGCTTTCTCCTTATTCTGAACTCAGGGAACAGTAACGGAGCCAGCACACTCAAGCCTGGGCTTCCGGGCCGGGCTTGGGCTTGACCGTGCTCCGAGCCCGGCCTTGAGCCCGCTGCCAGGCTTGATTAGGGCCAGGCTTTTTGGGCCGGGCTTGGCGGGCTTGCAGGCTTTGAGGCCCGGCCCGCACATCACTACTCTCGAAGAGTGGACTCGAGTGTTCTTATCTGCTTGCAAAACCAGCTTTCGGTTTTGCAAGCCTTTTGCAGAGAAGAGGAGAGTTGAGAATTCTCCTTCTCAACTTTCCTGCGGGCTTCCTGGGCTTCATTGCGCTCTCAGTGCAGCCAGTCTTACTGCTCTGAATGATCCTCCCGCTGTCACACAGGAGGATTGTTCACGCCGTGCATGCAGCTTAGCTGCGCTGCAGCAGCCTCTCAAAAGCTCAGATCCACTCTGCTGAGTTGCTGGTGATGCATGAAGTCATCACATTGTGTGCATTCCACAGGGTGTTGAATAACACCAGTCTGTAGGTCACAGACCCAGTGGAGGTCACTGTTGGGGTCTTGACCCTGATGACGCTTCCTGGAGTTGGAAGCTACCGAGGCCTCATTCACCGACTGCTCTTTGGTGTCGGGGCAACCAAAGGTTTGACCATAGTGCAATTGATTGTGTTCCTGCTCGCCTTCCATGGAAAAGTCTTCTTTTTTGGCCATTTAGTTGGTTGAGATTATTTGCAGTTGATATATGATGTCAAGAACACTTGCATATCCCGCAGGTGTTCTCATTGTGGAGAGAGGGAGAGAGTTGAGATGAAAGCGGGGAACTTGAGCAAGCAAAATTGCAAGGTGTCTCGCCCAAGGATCAGGATGTCACATGAGGCTCTGATTCGAGAGATTAGCCCCTTCATTGCCCAGAGCGCTTGGGTGCTCTTTGGGGCACTGAATGGGCGTTCCAACCCTGAGGCAGTTTTGCCCAATCAGAGATCCCGCACAGGTCGAGATATTTGTCTAATGCCTTGAGCTCATTGACAAACTCAATGAGTTTAAAGGTCTCTCCTCCAATGATCCATTTAACCTCGAATAGGATGGTATCCCCATTCCATTCATGGCCAGCAATCTCGTCTACCAGATATTTCGCATCCTCCAGAGTGCCCATGTCATAAGGCACCTGGGTATCCCAGTGTGGAAATAAATTACTGTCATTTGGTTCATGCCTTCTCAATAATGATATATGAAATTTGGGATGTATCCCCTGTTTCACTAAGTCCTCAGAGAGTTTCAGGGTCTAGGACAATGTCCTGGAGTCTCCATCCAGAATTTTGTAGAGGCCAATGAACCGCGGAACTAGCTTCTGTGCGCGATTTGGTGGAAGAAATAGGTTCTCCATGGATAGGTACACAAGATCACCTGCTTTCAGGGGGTCTTGCTTACCGTGGTGCGAGTTCTTGTCTCAGCAACGCTGATTGGCATGATAAGTCTGATGCACGCGGCTGTCAATGATTGCATCATGGGCCTTGAGAAGATGGTCCAACACTTGGCAAGCAAACTGCTGCACGTCTGGTGGTAAGTTGCTTGTGTCTTTAGGCAAGACTCTAAGCATTTGGGAGAGGCTTCCTGAGTTTAGCTCAAAAGGAGCGAACCCGATTGACTTACTGATGCTCGAGTTTATCGCAAACTCGACCATCGGTAGGTGCTTGACCCAATCAGACTGGTCAGGTAGAATGACTCCCCCAAGGTGTAACCAAACAATTTGCTTGTTCGGTTGTGCCATTGATCTGAGGGTGGAAGGCCATGGATATTAGAAGCTTGACACCAAGAATTCGGTGAACTTCTTGCCAGAATTTGGAGGTGAACTTTGAGTTCCTATCAGACACCAAGTCGTCAGAAAGCCCATGGAGACGTACTATCTCCTTGACAAATAGCCAAGCTAATCCAGACGCTGTAATGGTTGTTTGGATTGGTATCAAGTGCACCATAGAGGTGAGCGGGCAGATGATTACCCATAGGTAATTGAAGTCTTCTGACTTTGGAAACGGGCCCACAAAGTCCATGGCTATAGAGCTCCATGGCCTAGTTGGGATAGATAGGCTGTGTAGAAGTCCTGCAGGAGCCTGGTTACTAGGTTTTGATGTCTGGCAAGTTCCATAGGATGTGCAGAACCTGTTGGTGTTTTTGGCTAGTGTAGGCCACCAGTACCACTGGCAAATATACTGATCTGTCTTTCTGAATCCAAAGTGACCGAGCATGGTGTGAGTGTGGTCAATTACCATTTGTGGTAGAGTGCGCCTGTCAAACTTGACATGAGGGATGCAAAGTACTGAATCTCCGAGATGGTTCTTTGTATAAAGAAGGCCATCCCTAAGCTCGAAGTTGGCAAACTTCTCGGGCTCTTGGACAATTTTACTGAACGTAGAATCGTCCTTATATTTGGCCTTCACTTGATCAAGAAATGAGGTGTTGCCTTTGACTCTGCTTTGCAGAGGCTCAATGGTGTTGGAAGGAGTAAGAGCGATGGGATCTCCATTCTCAAGCTCTTGCTGAGTGGTGGTCTTAGTTTTCTTATGTTTCGTCAAGCAAATAGCATTAAGCTCTACGTTCAAAATAAGTTTGCACTCAGGCAGAGGCTCATTGGAGACACCTGGGCCTATCCACATGTTCTTGTACTCCTTGAATCGGTTGAGAGGGAGATCTTCTCCACTCTGATCTAGGCGTACATCTGTGTTGACATAATTGTCATATGGATGTACCTTGTTGGGCTTATTGTTAGAGTAGTATCTTGAGAAGCAGTCAGACACAATATTGTGTGCACCTGCTTCATGCAAGATGTCGTACTTGAAGCAAGACAAATACTCCATCCAATGCAGCTGTTGATAAAACATGCGGGACATTGGTTGGTGCTTAATGAACTGCAGGGCTTTGTGGTCTGTAATAATGTGGAATCTTTGTCTGAGAAGTTTGTCCTCCCACTTGAGCAAAGCCTCAAGTATCACTAGTAGCTCTAACTTGTAGATCTTGTAAGAGTGTTGCGCGGATGTAAACTTCTTGGACATGAAACCAGCCAGACGACAAGTATTCCATTTGGGGCCTTGTCCATAGTAGGCTCCTACGCTGCTCACCAACACATTGCAGATGACCCATATAGTTTTGTTTTGATGCGGGTCAATCGGCTTGAGAATTGGAGCCTTGCACGCCATCCACTTGATGGTGTCAAAACACCTCTGGTGGATGGGGCACCAGAAGAACAAGCGTCTGTTCTTGACCATGGCAGAAAGAGGATCTGTATAAGCAGAGATGTCTGGCATGAAATGCGGCAGATATTGAACTAGGCCAAGAAATTGTTGTATGTCAAAGTAGTCCCTTGGCATACGCCATTCTCAGATCCTAGCCATCTTATCTGAGTTGGCATGTAGGCCTTGGTCATCTATGCGATGACTCAGGCAGTCCATATCACGTGAGAATAGCTCACACTTCTTGGCCTTGAGAAACAAGTGATTATTCCTCAGCAGAGTAAACATGATCCTAAGATGCACCTCGTGCTCCTTGATCGTGTCTGAGAACAGAAAGATATCATTCATGTATGGATGGACAAATATCCCAATATATTGACGAAATATGTGAGTCATTAATCTTTGAAATGTTGAAGGGGTGTTGCAGTCCTCTTGTTGCATCACCTGGCTAACCATGGTGCCATATATTGTTGGAAAGGCCGTCTTATGAACATCATTGGGTTCTATGCAAATCTGTTCATATGTGTCAGACAAATCTAGCTTAGATTGGACTGGAGCCCTTGCGACATCTAGTTTGATCTGCTCTTGGTCAAGAAACAGGGTGACATCCTTTATGGTGTTGTCATTTTGCTTCCTGCATTTGACAACTGTATGGATGTTGCTATCTCTCTTGGGGATTAACAACATGGGGGCCGCCTGCAGCACCGCTCTATATTCCCACCATCCGGCATTGACATACTAGATGATCTTCGCCTTCAGCAGAGGCTTTAGGGCCTCTGTGCATCTAGGCAGATGGTAAGTTATCTTGAGATGATTATCTATCAACAGTATACAATGATTTATCTTGCGCATGGGTGGGAAAACTCTAGGAACATCACTCGTGATGTCCTTGAACTCTTCAAACAACTTGTGCCACTTAGCGTCCAAGTCTGTATTATTAAGGAGAGAGATAAACTCCCCTCAAGGGGGAATATATGCTCCCTGGGCCTTAGGCATGGTGATCCCATCCTCAGGCTCAGTTACTCTTGCTTTTTTCTTTTTTTTGCCAAAGCATGCTTGGCCATTGGAGCGTAGCATGCTTTGGTGGAGTTTGTAGTTTTTGTGACCATGGACTTGGCCGTAAACAAAGTACGGTTGTACTTGCCATACGCAGCCATTGCGAGCCCCTTAGGGCTTGTGCTGTTGAGTCAGTGTTGCTCCAATTGGAGACTGTTTGCCAGTTCCCAATCATCAACAGTCTTGATAGCGACCATCTTCGAGTTCTCTCATGATAACAAGGCAGTCGGACAGCGTTGCGTCTGTCTGTCACCCAGAATGTGGTTCCGTTGAGTTTGTTGTTTGGTAGGCCCATCTTCTTTCCCTTCAAGCGCATGTAGGGTGGTGGAGCCTATGCAAATGATGTAGTCACAGAAGTTCAGGACCATCCCAACATCCTGCATGATCTGGGTCCCTATGATCAGATCATAGTGATCTAGAGATGCAACGTCAAAGTAAAAGTTGTGCATGGTGGGACCAATAGGTATGGGCAGCTGCATGCCATAGCGAATCTTCGACCACGAACCTGAACAACCCAGTTGTAGGATGATAGGGTTTGACAATGGGAAAGGCTTAAATTCTGTGACTTTAGCGAAGTTGGAGCTTACGGCATTGATCATGCTGCCGGTGTTGATAAAAATGTATGCCTCGAGGTTGTTAATCTTGAGGTACACCCTCATTGTCTTCCCTTGTGCTGCCAGGCACTCCTGGGCTGTTAACGTGGCCTTCATGGACGAGCGATCACCGAAGGTCTTGGTTATTGTGCAGAACATATGGTTGCTCTTGTCTTCGTTGTAGTACTCATCATTAGAGAACTTGTACAGTTCCAGAGAAGGGGCAGGCTCAGAATGATCTTCAATAATCTCCTCGTAGCATGTGCGCTCAATGAGGTCTTGACTCTCTGCAATCGTGGGGACTGTCTGCTCAGGATCAAATAGCCTGGCCATGATACGTCCTTCTGGATGCTGTGCGGTGACCCTGCTGTGTATACAACAGGTTATTTTGTGGCGACGATTATTGCGCATATTAAAATACTTGATAACCAAGCTCATAGAGTCATCTGAAATACACATGTCAATAGCGCACACTAGAGTTTGCACTTCTTCTCTAAGTGCCATATTGTTGAGGTAGCAATTCTCAAACAATACATTCAGTGCATTGGCACGCAGTATGAGGTTGTGATAACTATTCCTCATGCCCTCCAGCTTGTTTTGCTCAGTCTGATCAAGAGAAACATCTGTGAACGTTTGAACAAACTGGATGCCAAAGAGCGTAGGCTTCCCGAGCCGAAGTTCGGCCATTGTTTCAGAGGCTCGACGCATGGCGTCACATCGTCAACGTGACGCCCTCACTCACTCAGCCTCAATGTTGCTTATGAGAGAACTGAGAGTAGCATTGGTTCTCTTGAGATGGTGTCAAATATGCTCAACAAATTGGTCATGGGACATAAGGTCTGAGAGGGCTAGCACGTCTTCCAAGTTGATTGTCCCCATAATCTCATTATGCTCTTTGTTCCAGTGAATAGGCATATAACCAGCCATGTTTATTGCCTGGTTAAACATTACATGGGACAGGGTGTCAGGATCTGCCATGTTAGTGGGTAGTGTAGGAGAATCCGGACTAATCATAGCCTCTGGATCCTGCGTGCTAACCAGTTCATTATCGAGCATGACTGTTGGCTGCTCAGAAGGTCCGGCACCATTGTCAGGTGTAGATCGCTGCCAGTCTGCAATGTTTATTGCATTGAACTTGTAGACAGATTCGGGCTTAGAGGAAAGTATATTCTCCTCTGATTCAGACTCATATTGTGAGCCTATCACTCTGGACGAGTGTCCACTATCTGAAGCGTAGTCGGGAGAGGCACCTGCTTCCAGGTGTCCTCTGTCTGACACTTCAGTGTTCTCGTCCCTTTCTTCACTGTCATCTCATTCATTATGAGGAAGAGAGCCAGTAGCCTGGTCTGCTTTCTCACTGCCTTCGTTCATAACGTCAAGGTGTCTTAGAGACTGTTTGTTAGCCATTGAGCACTCAGGGTTTGAGGTGTAGTGGCTGGTGCAGTTGTATTGGTAGCACACTACCTTGAACTTATTAACTAGCGCAGCCTTAGCCTCATCCTGATTGGGTTGGTTTGAGGATGGACGCAGATGATCTCATCACTCACGTCAGTCTCTATGGCCATCACTGTCACGTTCAGGTCATTCGCGAGAGCACTGCGGCCTTTCCCTACACTGATTGTAAGAGAAAAAACTAGATCGATTTTCTGAGGACCGCATTGACGACTCTCAATCACTGCAAAAAGGTGCATCACTTTGGGTCTTCGAAGATGACAGTGCTGCCACAAGCCGTAGGCTCACAACTTTTGCAATACATCCATTAAGAGACCACGCAGGAAGTGTTGCAATACTTTGTAGGTTGTCTCTATAGGACTGTCAGCAGGCACCTTGTATTAGCACTACCTCGCTCGGCAGCCTATGACATGAAGGCGATCTGTCGGGCCTTGAACGTTGCCATGACATACATCCTGATATAGTCTAGAACATTGGAGACTCACCTTACTCGGTCAGTATACATGAGACTGGCGTAATAACAGTAGAATAAGGTTCATCTGAGTAGTTGCAGCTGATCTCTGCTTAGCATGGCATGCTCAGTGTACTAAAAGCGGTATGATATGTTCGAATACACTAAAACAAACTTATTTCTGCAGAAAACATATATTGATGTTAGTCATGGACTTTTTTTATTTCATTGTAGCTTTATGTGCACTGCCTGTACATATAATTTACAATATAAACATGTCTCTATACCACTCACCGGCTCAGACTTGTTACTAGTAGCACCAGTACATGACGTGCAGCAACACGTCTATTGTAGCATACAAGCGTGTGGTTCTATATGCGAGAGCATACGTAGATGCATACTCACTTTTCTCTGTCAGCAGCACTTTTCAAACTTGCTCTGCTGACCAGTGACGCGAGTGCAGCCGACGCCAAAGTGTAAGCATCCAACGTTCAAATTCTGCTAAGTCTTACTCTCCATCCTAACTTGCTCACAGGGGGTCGTATAGCATATGGGTGACAATGTTATATGTCAATATCATAGTGTATTGGGCCAAACATATACTACACTAATGTTGTATATTGCTAACTGTCATCTTCATTGTCTGAGGACTTGAACCTCTGTATACGCAAGTCATCGTCTGAGTCTCCAAAACACCCTGCTAGCGAGCCTTCGTCCTCGACCTCCAATTCACTTGCCTCGCTCATGATAACATGAGTCTTGTCAATACCTCTCTCAGTGAGACCTTCTACCAGCTCGTTGAACATGTCAGACACATCGTACGAGCCTGCGGGCAATTCTGCCACAGCAACAGCCTTCCTCAGAGACTGCTTCTTTGGAGACGTCCACAGGGTATGAAACTTTGCTTTTAGCCGGCGGCAGTAGGAAGCCTGCCGGGCGGCGTATGCCATACGACCTTGGAGTTCAATGTCAGAGGTGCTGTAGTTCCCTGCTTGACCTTCATGCACGTCCCGCAGAAGGGCTTCGTGCTCAAGTGATTCCATTGTACGTTTCTTCTCCTTTGTGAGCCACAAACATTCCTCCTTGTAGCGTAAATGGTGCGCTCTTGCACAGATGAGCTTGTTGCAAAGGGCTAAACAATGCAGAGCCAAGAAATTATCAGTACAAGAGAAGGATTAAAGTAGTAAGTCACGCACCTGGGGCCATTCCCTCTAGCTCTCCCATGAGACCGGCATTGTCTGCTCCAAGCCAGATCCAAGATGTCGTCCTTCGTCCTTCAGAGACATGCTTCTTCTTCTTTGGCGGCTTTTGCTGTTTCGACTTTAAGATCCGTTTGCGCTTTTTTCCTTGTTTGCACAGCTCTTCATCTATGTGCTTATCTTGGTCTTCGTCGTCAGATCCTAGGCCATCGTTGTACAACACCGCCTTTGTGTTGATAGGGTCGTCCTCCTTGTACAGAGTGTGCACATCTTCTGGCTTGAGAACTTGCCATGTCTTCTGCCAGTCTCTGCTGCCTGCCAAAGCGCACTTCGCCCTCCACCCAGCACGGTATTTCTCAGCAAATGCCCTGATCTTTGCCTTGTTAATGAGGAGCTGACCTCAAGTCCAAGTGCAGTGCTTTTAGTGGCAAACATTCCGGTTCTTGAACGCAACAAGCCGGGTCTTCACATGGAGCTGCGCCCGTAGCTTGTCCAGGCTGTCATGTAGCTGAGCATCACGAAGACACTCTTTGATCTCTGCAAGACCTTGTGAGCACAAGGCGAGATCTGTCTCGTCTAGCTTGTAAGGGAGGAAGAGCCTTTGATCTTCGGGCTGCTCACGGAAGGCATCCAACAGAGTAAGATGTGAACCAGAGGCGACAGCAGCAGTACGCGCACGTAGAAGGGCATCTTGCTCCCTATGCGCTACGAGCAATGGCACGATGGGCATGTAGATCAACTGGACCTCTCTGATGGTGGTGATGCACCGCCGAATTGCTGTCTGCTTCTCAACTAGCTCAGCAGTCTGCACTGCTGTGCTGCACATTTTCTTAGGGTACTCCAAGTGAAATCGGTGCCTTTGAAAATTTGATTACCTGAGTACACAGTCTAACAAAGAACACCTTACTGATGATCTTCTATCTCCAATAACTCGATGACCATATTTGCAGGACTGATGTGGTGAAGGGGCAGGTCTCCATTTTGAACGGTGCGGTCTTCCTCTTCCATCAGCTGCAGGTGAATATCAGCCTCAGTCATGCCTGCAGTAGTGCACATTAGCTCGGTCATGGCAAAGCGGTTTGTGTACGGACCTGGAATTTCTCTGTTGTATGGGTCTGGCAGGGAAGGATTGTTCTCGTATGGTTCAACTTATGTTGTCCACGCCTCAACATGTTGTCTGGTGAGGCACTGGCAGAACCCATCAAAGATAGACGACTGGACAGCGGAGTCCTTACGGGCTTTGTGGGTTTTCTTGTTCAACATCTTGCCTGCATTGTTGTTGTCATTTCAGAAAGCCAACTTAAGGTAAATAACTTTGCTTACCTATATCAACATATTTCCTAATATTCACATAGTTGAGATGGTTTTCTAAGGTGTCTTCACGGGACCTGGGGCCCATCTCACGTGTACTTGAGGACGTCTGGTTGTGGCGCGCCCACAAGCGTTCAATCTCCTCACCATTGGTACACCCTGCACCTCGCATGTAGTTGAGAGAATATTGTGTATGGCTCTGGACTTTGTGTGCGTTGAAATGATATTTGGGAATTGCGTAGCGCAGATCACCCTCAGGCAAGTCAATTTTCATGCGTGCGGGTAGTTGCCCCAAACGTTCATAGAGATGGACGGACCACTGACATGCGATATCATAGGACAGCAGCAAGGGAGGGAAGTCTTTGTAGTGTGACAGAACCGAAGCGACGATATAATCCATGTTACAGTACCTAGAAAAATAGTCAGCATCAGCATCGCTGAACAGTGGATGGTGCATACCTCTCCCCCTTCTGGAGGTCTCCGACTCCAGTCGGCAGTATGAATCCATACCTGCCGTCAATTGCCATGCCAACTCCAGTAGCAGTGAGACCCTTGCTGAAGTGCCGGTCTGCCTGAGACAGGGCTTGCAAACCAGTGCAAGTGAAGATCTAGCGGCCACGTCAGCAGGCGCTATCAACAGGTGATTGAATAAAGCTCGCCTCTTCCTCCTTTGCATATGCCAGGACATGCTCCTTGTACTCTTTTCCGCTTACAAAAAATCCCCAGCCCGGGCCGAGAGGAGGGTCCCTGGCATCCAAAGAGACTGCACGGCGACGGAGCCAGAAATTGGCATCAATCGCGGTCACCATCGTGTATACCAATCTAGACAAAGATTAGTATAAGCCTTCGTAACATCAGTTTGAGACTTACTTCAATTTATCTGAGACATTACTCCAATTGTCCGGCAGGTTGAAGCCTGGGCGCAGACAAGCCGGGAATCTGATGCACAGCTCACCTGGTTTCATCGCATTCACTCCACCCGGTTTGTGGCCGCGACTGGCACGCTTGAGCATCCTGATGTGTCTTCATTCACGCACGAAGCGCATGAAGGATTTCAAGCAGTCCTATGAACGGCAGATCACCGTTGTAATGGCGGAAGGCTTGACCAAACTTACATAGCTCACACCAAGCTTCAGATTGTCAGTAAGGTACTGCAGGCTTAGATAATAATTGTATGGTGTGATCTTGCCTTAGAGCGTGAGCATGCTGAAGTGTTCGAGTACACAGTAGGTAAAGCACGTGGTAGGATCGGAGAGGGTGGCAGGGTACAGTTCATAGCGTAACAGTTGTTGAATAGTGTCACCAGCTTCATGAAAATGATTGCACTTGCAATATCGTATGGAGATGGAATGAATACCATTTGTGTGAACCACTACGAAGTCACGTGGCCCAAGTCTCGGGTTGATACAGGCAACATCAGGAGGGTGGCCAACTTGAAAGACCAGGCCAAGGTCTTTCAGTGTGATTTTGTCGAAGAACTGGCCGTTCCAACGCTGATACATGCTGTTAACACCAAGTATGAAGGGTACCAAAGAGACATCACTGACCTGCACACAATGAAATGGGTTGGTGGCATGCACCAAGATGCAACAGCTATCACACAACAATGCTTCACTAACACAGTCTTTACACTGCAAGAGAGCCTCGCTGGCACTCTCACTTGGGCACCAGGAGCAATGAGACGTATCGTTCCCTCTGAGCCCTTCTGCACGCAGTAGTTCAGACAAAAAATCGTTGTGATGTGACGACCACTCAGCAAGGAAAGCATCGTGCTCTTGTAATTATAGAATGTGAGTCGCAATCCAGTGCATCTAAGTGGCATTTAACTGACTGTAGTGGTGAAAAACTTGCTTGGAAGCCGATCAGGGTGCTCTTCAACCATGTTACAATTCTTGTCCACAGGGGGGCCCAAGTCAAAGTCAGGGTCGTATATGATGACTGAGTTGTTATCCTCATGTTGACGTGCTTGCTTTAACAGTTGCTCAGGAGATGGCAGAGAAATGAAAAATGAGTGTCTGTGTTGAGCAACACCACGACGATCAGAAGAAAGTGAGCTGACAAAGGTGTACACTTCGTGCTCAGAGAGTAGGGAGTCGTCCATCATGAACGAGGGTGTTGGCTTATCGACTTTTGCTGTTCATTTTGGCATTGCGCAGTTGGATGTCAGTGGGGTACAGCAGCGGGATACATGACAAGATGGTATTAATTTTTGAGGGATGGTAGCACCAACCAGATAGCTCCATCCTTACTGTCTTCGTAAGGCCACTAGCTGTCAGTGCTGCAATGTGCTCGTGGGTACGCGCAAAGGTGCCACGGTATGTGGCACGCATTGCAGCCGGCCTGTTCGGCAAAGGGTTAGAATAAGTACTCGCCTCCTAAGTATAGCTACACACCAGACAGCTGAGCAGTTTGAGTTGAGCCTAAATGACATCTTGTGAAGCTGGCAAGACAGATGTTCACGCAGAACATCCACATGCCCTAAGTGCCGTGATAGGTGGCATGTATTGTACATTGTCTGTTCATTGCTGTATTAGTATAGCCATCCAACTTCGAGAAGCAGCTACGCACCAGAGGGCTGGGTGATCAAGATATTGACAGCTGGCAAAAGTGGCAGAACAGGTGTTTGCATGCAGCATGTCTGCAGCCTTCAAGCACAAAATGTCGGGAGGTGAGTCTCGCACAGTACTACAGTCCTAAAAGGTGGATTGTCAGCCCTAGAACAAGCCTGAATGTTGCGCGGTGCTTACAGAACTCTTTGTGGGCGTGACATGACTAGAACGCTGCAGCTTCTCCTGCGCATGCAGAGGCACAGATGGGTATGACAGAGAACATGATGGCTGCCAAGGGCAATCTGTCATGAGAGGTGCAGAGACATGAATGCCAAATTGAGTAGCTCAGGGACCAAATAAGGTGGCAGGCTGTCGTGGCTACGAGCTCGAACGGTCAGAGCTTAAACCACCTTCCAAACATAGTAATTGTGTTTGGTATGGCGCATCATATTCTGTTGTTCTACCTGATGACCTGGACTCCTAGGCATTGTATAGGCATTGTGTAACAGTATATAAACTTCAGTCAAATTAGTATTATATCTCTCAGAGCAAACTTGAGCTCGCAGGTTTGCTGTGCTGCAAACAACTGTTGAGTAGTAGTATGAGCAACTCAGATGCCACTAGACCAGCAATCTAGACTGACTCATGCGTGGACTAACATACAGAGCTGAATTGATAAGTGAATTCTACGGCCCTACAGTATCAAGCTAGTATGTGATTCGTAGAATATAATATTCCTTGTACTGCCTTCTGGTGCAGTTTGGTAGAGGCTTCACACAAGGACAGCAGCTTCACACATGCAGGTCATCAATCAGACACGGATGCCTCAGTACATGCCTAGTACAACTGTTAATGCTGCTATACAAGTACTTGCAAAGTTGATACATACTATATAGGCAAGGAGAAATGCAGCAATGTCGAGCAAAATCTTATCCGATACCTGTGTTACCACAAGTTGGAGCACCATTGGTCCGTGCAAGAGTAACTGATCTGTGCATACTGCTCTTGTGTAGTATCCATTGTACCTTCTGCCATCCTGTAGCCTCTTTCATAAGTACTGCTTTTGATACTGATGAGGTACATATCCAAATGGCACTGCATGATTGAAATACATTTTGGTGCAGCAACTGCCATGATATTTATGAGATCTTGTTTACAGAGACTCCTGCAGCTGCAGAAAGGTCTGTTTGCCGTGCTGCAGCTCAGGATACTAGTATGACCCCCATATAAGTGGCTCTGTGGCATGTATGTAAATGTAAATGCATGTTACATGACTATGCCTGATGTTGTTCATGCTCCTTCATGAGAGGGGCAGCATTTTGTGTCTGAAATTGCGATATATGGACCTCTCTAACAATCATACCAAGTCCAGGCTAGCTATGTTCTACGGCATGTGTACTACACACAAAACATAGTGTTAATGGTCTATAAATCATAAAATAAATACAGAAACAGATCTGCACAACTTTGAGACCTTAAAAATAAACCCCCTACCTTGTACCTTAGGTAGTATCCTAGGATAACTGGATTATATTAGGCGCAGACCAGTTAATTGAATTGATTTGATGCTCAAACTTGTTTGTCAGTGTAGCGTAGAATTGCAACTATACAGGCTCGGGAATTTGTCAAGTGTACACCATGTGATCTAATGAGCTACCCAGGAAGTTTGACATTGTCTTATTAACAGAACATGGCTGTGCAAGAGATGAGCTGTTCATTGCCTATTACCTACCATGGTTTGCCTATCTCATGTATTGTCTAGTAGCACAGGTAATATTTACCAGATTTGAAAGCTTCGCTTGTAGTATTCATGCAGCAATATGCACCGATGCAGTCACAGTGAGTATGCACCGGCAGACGACGCAGACGAATGGCAGCATAGCGACACCTTTGAAATAGCAGACCTGCACATTGCAATCATTGATGTTGTACGCAATGTGTTGCTATGTGCCATCCATGCTCTGTCCCATCTGCAGATCAAAATTTGATCCGAGTCATTTTGAGCCAATTTCTCACGAGAGCTATGATTGGGAAAAACAAGGATGCGTACATATATTCTACAAATAGACAGGCAGGTATATACAGCAACAACAAGACTATTTAAAACATTTGTCCAAGGCAATAAACAATACGTTTGGTTCAAGAAATGATGCACTTGGTTGCGCCACTGTCAGCTAGCATTTTCACAGCCATCTGATCTCACCCTGTGCGCCCAGCAGCTCCATCATCTCTTGGGCATATGGTCAAAAAGAGCATGGAAACATCAGAGCATCGGGGTCAGAACTCCAATTGGCCACGGCGGTTGGCCTACGCAGTGATTATTACCTACAAAGGTAAGAGAAAAAATGCTGCTTACTGGTCATTGTAGATGCCAGGCCTAATGCCACGTATAACAGCATAGACCCAGATGTCAACTTGTGGCTTGCCTACAAAGACCCACGATGGAGACAGGGAGGAAGGTGATGGTGCCAAAATAGTCGAGGGAGGCAGTGTAGAAACGTCCTGCAGTGGGACAGGGTTGAGCAGTAGGGATGAGGGGCCAAAAGTGCCCAAATTGCTCACCGATGGAGCCCAGCTCCTAGATGCCAAGTGCTCGGCAGTTGGAAGAGGGCATCGGCAAGAATGGCCAAACATATCGAAGCCGTAGAGCACATCCTGTGCACTCGATGCAGGGCAAGTGGATGGTGGCGGTGGCCATGATGAGGGGACCGGGCGACTGCTTGGAGAATGGGGGGACGATGGTGGTGCGAACGGTGGCGGTGATGTAGGCCATGGCAGTGATGTGGTTGGCTGCGAAGAAGAAGATGGTGGTGGTCTTGACGACACAAATGGTGCTGTCGGAGGGGTGTCACGAAGCATTTGAATAAAGCGGTGTGGAACTGCTGGCCAGTAGACGGTGGCAGAGAAGCCATTCAGCCCAGCCTTGTGGTTCTCACCAGTGACAGGTGGATCCATGCTGAACGTGGGAATGGCTGCAGGAGCGGCAGGCATGGGAGCAGGAGCAGGGCCCGTGGGAGCAGAGGGAGCACGTGCAGACTTTGCACCAGGCGCGGTGTGTGTGGGCGTTACACCAGGTGTGGTGCGTGCGGGTGTTGCACTAGGCGCGGTGCGTGCAGTGTGTGTGGTGCGTGTGGATGTCAAACCGGCAGCGGCATGTGTGGTACACGTAGGCAGTGAACTGGTGGCAGGAGCAGGGCTAGCAGCAGGGCTAGAGCTGGAGCCAGAGCTGGCGTCAAAAGACGGGCCAGCAGCGGAGGAGGGGCCAGCAGTGAGAACAGAGCCAGCAGCAGGAGCCATTGTGTCAAGTTCCAGGCCATTTGCGGCAGTTGCATTGATGACAAGGGGAGCCGGAGGAGCCTCTTTGGGGCAGAAGCCAGGGAGGGCAAAGTCAGTGACCGAGTGGGGCAAAATTGGTCCATGCATCCGGCCATTGATGCAGGCATTGATCTAAGCCCGGAATGCGTGGCAAAATTCCTTATAGCTTTGGTTCGCCGCATGCGAGTGTCCGGTTATCCATGACTGGGCCAGCAGCCTGGGCCCGGGATCAGATTGTAGGAATCATTTATACTTTAGTAAGTGACTTACCAATTTGTGGTGATCCCAGTGAATCTGCCATTTGTGATGACATGCCACTTGCCACACCAGTGGAACCCCACCCGAGGGGTCGGATCATGCTGATACTGAACAGGCAGCATGGCCGTACTGCTGATTACAGTACGCATGGAACCACCTCACATGCATAAATTATCGTAAAATGTCATTGAAGGTTGTATGTACTATATGCTGGCTCGCTGCATGTCATTGACAAGTTGATTGACATCGTCCCTGCCACTGCCACCACTACCTCCAGCACCATCACTGTCTTATGCATTGTCGCCCTGTTCACTGCTGCTTGTGTGATTGCTGCACTCTTGCTGAGTCGGGTTGCCATCTGCATTGCTGTTGAAGCTGGAACTGTCAGAGTAGTCGCCTGTGGAAGGAAAGCGGCGGCACAAGTGTTCATTTCTATTGTCATCACGACCAGCACCAGAGGAGGCGAAAGAGCCTGGCATTGTTATGCAGAGGGAGGTTGAGAGTTGGGGAGAAAGCGTGTTGGGATGCGAGACCTGCTGGACATGTTATTTATACCTGATTAATCAAGGTTTATGATGTACTCACTGAAGAGGAAATGAGTTTGCACATTTAGGAATGGGAGTTCCTGAAGTAGAAATCATATGAGCATGGGCAGAAGAACAAAGTTATACAAACAAACAAACAGAGCAAAGCGTTGCTCACCTTTTGCAGGGGCGAGACTTGGCTGTCGTACACGCGGGTCGCCATACTGTCAATGGAGCAGAAATCCCCCTTGCACTCACCACACTGTTCACCCTTTGAAAGTGAACAGACGCAACATACACATACCTTCGACATGGATTCGGCCAAGCAGGAGACAGAGAAAGAGGCCGACAAAGATATTGAAGGAGCACGAGAGGAACCAGAGGACAATGTTGATGGCAAGGAAGCGGATCATGACGAAAGCAAAGAGGAGGATGATGAATTTGAGGACAACGAAGATGAGGAATCCAAACCTGAACCTGATGAACCACTGGTCATAGCAGTGGGCAGAAAAGTGAAGGCAATGGGCACTAAGAGGAACGTTCGCCGCGGCAACCCCAGCTGCTTTGTTGGCAAGCCGTACAAATACCTGGTGCAGTACAAGGATGAGTACAACAGGATTCCAAAGAAGGGTAAAGGGAGAAACAAGAGGATTGGGAACTTCTGGCACCTGATCATCTCTGGATTTTGGCAATGTTTCGATCCTTCGATGTTTGAGGATATTGCTGGCTCAAAGGATAAAGAGGGAATTATCAAGACAATAAACAAGGTGAGTGTTGCAGCTATTGGAATAACCACAACTTACACATTGAGCAGAGTATCAAGAGGTTCTCACGATGGCGCGCGTGGGCTGCTACAGCTGACACGAACAACCCGTGGCAGCCGCTGTTGTCCCAACTCCGGAAACCAACAGGCTCTAAGCCGAGGTGCACTCCCGGCTGGCTGCAGTTTGTGAGCATGGAGAAGGAGAGGGTACGCAATGCAGCGCTGCCTAGAAGCAACATAAACGTCAAAAATGTGTGTGCAAAAAAGATCTTCAAAGAAGAACTCACTGAGGAGAAGCGTCAGCATTACGAGGCCCTAGCTGACAGCATACTCGCAGACAAGTTGGAGCACTACAAAGCTGCGCAGCTGGGTTCTCCGTCTTCTGACTCTATCGAGCAGACGAAGTGAGTGATAGTGAGCTCTCAGGATGCCTCATTACTTACATGTCTCAGAGCATGCAACAGACTGGCGTCTGTACTGTCTCCTGTTCTGAAGATGGTCTCAGAATATACCAGAATGGAGGTGCTTACCTTAGTTGGAGTTCGATGGGTTTCTGAGATCAGCAACTTTGAGGCCAGAGCTGTTAATTTTGGAGAAATTCCAGGGGCGTTTCCAAAGAACTTTCTGCAGTGGGACCCCGACGCATTTAAGAAGGTGTTTTGCGGACAGATCACACTGTTCGCAAAGGAAGTTCGGAGTGAGTAGCAATTTGAACACGGGAATTTTATAGGTTGGCTAACTATACGATGGTACAGAGGCTAAGCTTCAAAAGGAGGCTGGCGCAGAGGGGTCACAAGCCCCGGTACCTGTAGGGCCCACGTCTTTGCATCAGACAGCTGCTGCAGGCTCCTCTGCTCAACGTTCAGTGCACACGTTCTCCTTGTCCCCTGCTGCGCAAGCTTCTCCCGCTTGTTTCTCTCCATCGCCTTTGCTAGATCTGGAAGAAGAAGAAAGACGTGCGAGCATAGAAGATGAGCCCGAGCTCACTTTGCCTGAAGGTGCAAACATCGATTTGTCTGTGCTCAAACAATTGGTGTATGCACTGGAGCCCGGCCCAAGATGTGCTGATATTGAGAGCTTAAATGGGCTCGCTCTCACGGCTCCCTTCAAATGGGCTCACGAGGCAACTATTGCCAGCAATCGCCAGCTCATTGCATCACTTGGCCTGAACAATGGCCTGTTCAGCCCCCCTTGCGATGGTGTGAAGCGGCCCAGGCCAAAGTCTAGGCCAAAGCCAAAGCTGAAGCTGACTGCGACAACCCAGCCTTGCAGGTCATCCACCAGGTTCAGCAAGAATGCTGCTGAAGCCTCAAACGCAGAAACGTCAGGAGAGCATTTGGCAGACCAGTCATCGCCTGACCCTCTTCAGAACCGCAGCACCACTCCTAGAAGCAGCTTAGTAGAGCCCTCCTCTGCACATAATGACAATGACGAGCCAAATGAGGTGTTATGCCTGGGGCCAGACCATGAGCACCGTGTATCTGAGAACCTACAAGCTGTCACAGTGAGCCCGGACTGACCCGACTTCATCTGGGAGCATTTCCCCCGCCTGATGCGAGAAGAATTACCACCTGCAGAAGCGGCGACATGACAGGATTGCATGCGGGCATGGGTTCAGCTTGAATCACTGTTCAGCTTTCAGAAGGCAGTAAGTGGCTCAGCCATTCTGCAACAGATCTAGCTAACAATCAATACAGAAAGTTGGGCTGCCATGTACTTCTCAACCTCCAGAGATTCAACATTGGATCTGGTATGCACGCGCTGATCACATCGTTCCTACTGACACTGCCCGCTATGCCGCAAAGTTCTGGCAATAGTGGGATGCCATTAATCCCACATGGCGCGAACACTAAAACAGTCACCTGGTACAAGGTGGCCAAGGCGACTGGTCACCGCTCTTCAAGCACAGCAACAACGGCTTTTTGACCGTGCTGTATGCCGCGATAGCGCTGTGTGACTCATCCGAGTCTAACGACTGGTCTGCTGCCTTGCAAAATATTTTGTGGGTTCTGAAGCAAGTAATTGCTGCAAAGCAGCAACAGGGGTATATTGTCATAGCTACTGCGCTCTGTACATGCTAACAATATACGCAGAATGAAACGCTCTGCAGAAGGTGGCGGGAACAGCAGAGACACAGCCACGGAGAATGCCGATGACACTGGCAAGAGCGCCGAAGAAGGCCGTAAGAGGGCTAGGCACAAGTAATGGTCACCACGTGTTTATTTTATGCCTGTTTGCCACTGTTTGCTCCTGTTTTGAATAATATAACACTGTTTCTGATGTAAATCTACCATTTGAGACAGTAGAACCCTTCTGGTACCAAAGACAACCATTTGCAGATATGTCGTGGCCACTTTGGGTACATTTATTGATGCAATTTGAAGTCCGCCAGGGCCACCGAACAGGCTGTCAATGAAGTACCAGAGCTTGTGAAGTATTGCAATACATTCTGTGGTCAGGATCAAAAATTATTGTGTTACTTTTTGGCCCAGGGGTGCTGCCACCACCTTCACCAACATTATGGATGCCTGTCGCTTCTGCCAAGTCTCTGCACTGGCATCAAGGTTCTCGATCTGAAGGGCACTCTCGAGAAGCCTCTCAGCACTTGAGTTCTTAGGGTTTCATCAATGAAGTTCTCTAATCCAAGTAGATATGAATATTGGAAGTCCATCCATGAACCGTTGGATGAATGAATACAAATCTGGGTGGACAACCATTTGCCTGGCATACTTGTCCAGGTTTTGGAACAACCTGTTCACTCCAGTACAAGATGAGTAGCGCATGGAATCGTACTTGTAGGCTGCGTCCTTAATCGTACTGGACTTCACATAAAGTGCAAGTACATTAAGCAGAAATTTCCTGCCAATGTTGCTCTGTGATCTCCTAGTACTAGGAGATTTGGTTTGATATTCTCGCGGAACCAAGTGGCAGGCTTGCCTTCCAATTGGTTCCCTAAGAACAAGACTGCTTCTGACTCTAGGTTGGGTACATTTAATCTAGCAAGGTGCGTGAACCAGACAAACTTCAAAAAGAACGTCCAGAATTTGTCATGATCAGAGCTACCACCATATGTAGTGGTAATCTCTGATTTTACCTTGACCAAGGAAGGGAGCTTAGGCAGCTCTCTTCCTAAGTTTCAGTCAATATGGTCTTCTATAGCTGTGAATACCAACTCGACAAGAGCACCAAGTTACAAAAAAGGAAGGTGTCTACAGTAAATGGGTGCTAAGTCATGTGCCTTACACTCTGTCATTCATTGCACCTCTGAGGAAAACACTGCTGACATGCTCACCAAGGCACTTGCCCGCCCTACTCACACTCAGCAGCTCTCCCTCACAAACATGTCTGCTTGTTGAGGGGGAGTGTTGTACTGAGGCGTTTCCCATGGTCACGTGGTTGGCAGGTTCCGGCTGAAGTACTGTTGAAACCTGCCAACCTATGACATCACTGTAGCCTCCTTCCATATTTAGATATGATGCGCGCAGAGCACACTTGGCTCTGGCGCCCTTTGGTTTTCCGCTATGTTTTTCTTAGTCTCAGCTTCCTCAGCGTACTAGGTATTGGACTGAATATATTAGGAAGTAGATGAGCTATATAAGAACACAGAAATATCTTTAGAATTTATCTTTGATTACTCGTGAATTCTCTGTAGTGATTTGACTGGCTCGGCTTCAAGCCAGCAAGCCAGGCCAAGCCAAGCCAAATGGTGCCGGCTGGGGGAAGGCTTTTGGCTTGGCTTGAATGTCAAGCCAGCCAAGCCAAGCTGGCAAGCCACGGCTTCAGATAATAAGCTTGCTGTGTTTGGTACTATCGTTAGAGTAATCAGTGATAACTTTCTAAAATATTATATTGCACTCTTCTGTACCATATTCATCCCACAATATACATAAATTAATACATCGTTGACGAGACTGAGCCTCACCCTGAAGAGACACAGTGGAGGTACCAGCACTTGTGTTACGATTGGTCTGTTGTCCCAATATATGTTTTTCCTTTTATTCTCCATTCTCCGGACAAATAGCACTACTCAAAGGTTCTACCCTTTTCCGAGTTATTCCTTTCTGGGTTATTTCTGAACCACTTACATTTCCAGGACATTCTTGTATATACATTGTCCCTTCTCTGCTGATCCCACAGTAGCTAGGTTAGTATAAATACCCTCTGGAAATGTCGTGTACTTTAGCTTCGGCCTCCTGTATTATCAGTCACTTTCTATATTATTTCCTGGACTTTGCTCAAGTCCATGTTCTACGCATTCCAACTCTTACACTAGGCCAAAGCTCCTTTCACTGGTGACCAGATGTACATGGTCCAACCTCCCATCATCAGAACCACAAGTCAGCGAAGTGCTGAACTTACACGAGAAAGGTGCCGGAATCAAGCACACAGACACCACACCAGCCAACAACGAGACTACCACTTTCGAACACAAGACAACAAGTGGCACAGGTGCAGAGAAGTCATCTGCATACACAGAGACAACAAATCAAACGCCAAAGTGATCGAAGAAATCTCTGATCAGCTTATTGAGATCACCAGAGATCAACCAGCAGAGCGCATTGAAGCTTGACAAGAGGTGGAGGAGGACCAATCT